TAATTTGAGGTGCTCAGCTATTCTTGCAGATTGGGCATTCAACTTATCTACAACTTTGCTGTTAGATTTCTTGTATGTTTTGGTGACGTTAAGCATTTTAGCCGTCCAATCAGAATTCTTACGTCTTTTCAAATTTGTATATCTTTACATGTAACCGCTAATGTTGTCAGTCGCCTGATGATTGCTTCTTTAGAGGCATGAAACTCCGAGTAGCGATTAAATGTTTTTGAACTAGTCCGACTCCAGAAGTTCATCTTTTATCTATTTACAGCTCTGGTGTTACCATTGAGCACTCTTATAGTAGATGAAGTCTTCATTAAATCTACTTATAGTTATATTTTGCTCCTCCTATTTGTTGAGCACTCTGTCCAACTCATCAGCTATCACCATGGAGAAGATCAACTTGGGCTACTCAACCAAGAACATCCCACTGCCATCAAGAAGCGAGTACATGAAAAGATTTATCGAAAAGACGGAACATTTCGTACGGCGTTTGCGTTGGAAAGCCTACCATTTTCTTAATCAACAAGAAACATCAACAAAGGAAACATATGGGTTCAAATCAAAAAACTTTCCGCCAAAAATTAACGAGCTGGTACCCTTTGAAGAAGACATGACAAATCTAATCCGGAACATTAAATTCAAGGATAACGCGAAATCCAACTTCCAGCGAAAATTAGACGCCGACATCAAGAACAAAGTTAAAAAATCGAACAGCCTCCTGATTCCTGCGGACAAGACAACAAACTATTACCGAATGGACACAACTGCTTACAACAAGTTAATTAACGAAAACGTCACCAAAACATACAAGAAATCTAACAGCAAAGTTGTAGATAAGTTGAATGCCCAATCTGCAAGAATAGCTGAGCACCTCAAATTAGAAAATCGTATTGAAAAGCTAGCCGAAAAAGAAGCATTTATCACCTTAAAAGACCACAAGCCTGCATTTCACGACCACCCGACCTGTCGCTTAATCAACCCATCCAAATCCGAAATCGGCGTGATAAGCAAACACATCCTCGATGAAATCAACACCTCCGTCATCAGTAAAACAAAAATCAATCAATGGAAAAACACAACCAGCGTTCTGAAATGGTTCAACAGCTTACAGCACAAAGAATCGCTGTCCTTCATCTGCTTCGACGTGTGTGATTTTTACCCGTCGATAACAGAGAAGCTGCTCTGCAAAGCGCTGGATTTCGCTAACAGCTACCGCCCCATCAGCCAACATGAGCGTGACATTATCATACACGCTAAATGATCACTGTTGTTCAGCAAACATGTCCCCTGGGAGAAGAAAAACTCCAACGACAGATTTGATGTCACCATGGGGTCGTTCGATGGGGCCGAAACATGCGAACTAGTTGGTTGCTACATCCTGTCACGCCTTACAGAAAAGTTCGGAAGGAACATCGGTCTCTATCGTGACGACGGGCTGTCGGCATTCAACAAAACACCACGTGAGATCGAAAGAGTTAAGAAAGATATCTGCCAGATCTTCCGCGACAATGATCTTAAAATCACCGTGGAAGCCAACCTCACCAAAGTAAATTGTTTAGATGTCACACTCGACCTAAAAAGCGAAAAGCACTCCCCATACATGAAAGAAGGAAATACACCCATCTACGTACACAAGCAATCGAATCACCCACCTTCCATCATAAAGAACATTCCCGAATCCATCAATAAGCGCCTAAGTGAAATCTCATCTGACAAGGAATGCTTTGACAAAGCCAAAGATGCGTACCAAGATGCTCTTAATAAATGTGGCCACAATTATAATCTTTCATACAAAGTGCCAATCCCTAAAACATCACGACAAAACCAACGGCATAGAAATATTACTTGGTTCAACCCACCTTACAGCCAAAATGTTGAAACGAAAATCGGAAAATGCTTCCTCAAATTAGTTGATCTGCATTTCCCCAAATCAAACCCACTGCATAAGATATTTAACCGGAACAGCCTTAAGTTGAGCTACAGCTGCATGAGCAACGTGAAAACTATTATCTCCAGCCACAACAAAGCCCAGATCAGCAAACCAGTACCCCAATCAGAAGAAGTCGCTGGCTGCAATTGCCGTAAAAAAGATTCTTGCCCGCTTGAGGGAAATTGCAAAATCCAGAACATTGTATACCAAGCAGAGGTCACGACTCCACAGTCAAAAGAAACGTACGTCGGCCTATGTGACACGACGTTTAAGGAACGATTCAATAACCATAAATGCTCTTTCAGGAACGAAAGATACAAGAATAGCACAGAGCTTAGCAAATACGTATGGAACCTAAAACAACGCAAAATTGATTACCAAATTAAGTGGAGAAAAGTAAAGCAAGCTAGGTCTTACTCTAATGTCAACAAGAAATGTAATCTCTGCCTGTGGGAGAAATACTTTATTATTTGCAAACCGGAAATGTCGACACTCAATCGTAGAAATGAGCTGTCATCGATCTGTAGACATTCTAAGAAATTTCTTTTAAATACCGCGATAACCTAATATAGATTTACCTGTTCGTTAAGCATTTTAGCCGTCCAATCAGAATTCTTACGTCTTTTCAAATTTGTATATCTTTACATGTAACCGCTAATGTTGTCAGTCGCCTGATGATTGCTTCTTTAGAGGCATGAAACTCCGAGTAGCGATTAAATGTTTTTGAACTAGTCCGACTCCAGAAGTTCATCTTTTATCTATATATATATATATATATATATACATATGTGTGTGTGTATTAACTTGTCCTGGTTTTATTTCCCCTAGAAAATTCCTCTGTTTCTTATAAAAACCCTTTTATTGAACTTAAATAGCCTAGAAGTCAAAATATAACAAAACAAAACTGACACATCTTGAACTGAACTTCGCCTTGTCGGTCCTAGCCGGTTTAAGTGGCATTTTGTCCAGTTTTGCCCTCGTAGGTACTGTATCCACTAAAATACGAGGTATTTAGTCTTTAGTCTTTTTTTTTTTCTTGGGGAGCAAGAGTCTAAATTAAGGTTTGTGAAAATTTACAAATTCAAAAAATTACAAATTCTGTACTAGCTTTACCAATTAAACTGTTTTAGCAGGTGTCTCTGAGAATTGGAATTTTATTTTTTTCTTTTCAGTAATATGTCTTTTGCATTATATCTTGAGTTCGCACATTCATCGCAGTCATTTGAATTTATAAAAAAAAAGAAAAACTTTCAAGACAAGAAATAAATTTCCATTCTCTATTTAATGTCTTTTTTTGTGCAATAGTTTCTGCTGTTGTTATTTAACAAATCAATTATAGCAGCCTGATAAGAGCTATAACGGCGAGGTAATGAATAAAGGAAAAAGCTTCCTTTGTGCTCTAATTTCCGAAACAATACGTCTATTAAAATATATTTTATATGTCCTAGCGTTTAATTTGAAATGTTGTAGCCTCACTGGCTCGGTCACTATTAAAGAACATTATTTGTACTTATTATTCTGAGTAGCAGTCAGCGTCATTTGAGTTCATTTTTTGCTTTGGCTGCAGGTGTTTAATAAAACATTGTTCAAGCTAGATTTGGTTTATTGTCGAGAAAGTTCCTCCTGCAAGCAATGCTATAATCGCGCTTTGTACAAGGTTAGTAACCTGGTATCAACACTTTTTTTAGTTTAATTAAATATCTTCCTCAAGAAAAAAAGGCAGGGATAAAGTACCTGAACGTATCTCAAAGTGTATTATTAAAATTATTTCCTTCTCGTACCAATGTGAAAACATAACACTGAAATTATTTCAATTAAATGGAAAATTCAGTCTTTTTATTAGAACATTTTTTAAAGTTATCTAAACTCGGTAACATGCATAACTTTGTGAAAAATTCTGCGCCGTTTGCGTGGTGTGAGCAATGTTGTTTGGCATTTGACTGTTGATTCAAACAGCGGAACTTTTCATTACGCCCAACTCTCAATTAGTAGATGCAAACTAGGACAATTTCAACGCATAGTTTAAAAGGCAAAAGGTAGTTGCTAAAAATGGCTAGAGATCCTTATAATATATTTCAAATGGAACATGAATTCGTATTAAAAAACTAACCAAGAGGTCAAAAAGGTTCCAATTTTTATTGTTTTTCGCCAAATTTCCAGGTCTTTGCCACATAAAAAATTTGCTGAAAATTATCATACATCGAAAATGAAAAACGTGTTAATATTAACCGAACAAATTACAAAACATGTTTGTATATACCCTACCGAGGGGACAAGACAGAAACAGAAGTCTTCTCCGGTTTCTTGAAAGAAGCTAAAATGCTTGATCTCGCATATAACCTTGGTCTTTTGTTTCTTGGTGAGCAAAAGCTCTCACTTGAGGTTTCCGAAATTTACAAATTTTCCTCTAGCTTTAATAATTAACTCATTTTAGCTGTGTCTCTGAGTATGAGATAAGTTTTTTTTTTCTTTTCAGTACCAGGCATTTTCATATAAGTTCACACATTCATTGCACTTACAGTCGACTCTATCTTAATAACGGACATCTCTATAAGACGGACACCTCCCTAAAACGGACACCTAGAGTTGGTCCCTGCCTTTCTTTACTCCCCTTATTTGACTTTCTATAAGATGGACATCTCTCCAAGACGGACACTTACTGCCGGTCCCAAAGGTGTCCGTCTTGGAGGGAGTTTACTGTATTTGATTTTATAAAAAAAGAAAAAAAATTAAGTAAAACTATTTTGAATAATTTCTATTTCCTATTTTAATTTCTTTTTGTGCGAAGTTTCTGCTTTTGTTATTTAACAGTTTAATTATAACAGCCTGTTTTAAGCATACGCTGCAGCTTAAATTTATTTTTTTATTCACAAAACTGAGGTAGTCTAGTTTCCGAAGCAATACGTCTATTAAAATATGTTTTTATATCTACCTGGAGTTATGAAAACCGGGTTAGCAAACATTGAAATTTTTCTCAACTTCCGCTGTCTAATAGCTTGTTTACTGTGTTGTTTGCTTATGTTGTTGTTTTTGGCTTGTTTTGTGGTTAGGGATTTGTGTAGAAGTGGATGTAGACAGAATTACTATCTTACCCCCCTCCCTATGTTTTTTCCCACCCACATTTTTTTCTGTAAGACAAGAAGTGACAGTTATCAGTTTGAAATCAGCGGGCGCCTAAAGCTGGTTTCGGTGCCGTTTAGCAGTTTAGTTTTATATATTGGTCACCTAAAGAAAAGTTTCCTGGAGAGCATCATGTAAAGCTCTGAGATGGGACAAAGTTATTACGATTATATTCTCGTTTCATTTGGCTAAACGGATCAGTCACCCTGATCCGGGCTGAGACAGAAAGGTTCGATATTGTTCGCTTTTATAAGGTGACCACTAAGTCTTTGGCCTCGGGAACAGGCTCTTAGGAGTCAAATGAATTAGGTGAGAGCAAAATTGCCAGTAAACTTTGACCCAGGCCAAGTTTTTTTTCTGGTGTGAAAACAAGGCTAAGGTGATCCACCGAACGTGACACTCTACATCCGGGAACTTGAAAGTGACGAGTGTAAGAGAAAAGTCCAGAGGTGTTTATCTGGCAATAGGCTGAGTTTTTCCGAGCTATTCGATAATATATCGCTTATGTTAAACGTGAGAAGATTATGCGTGGTTGTGGATAGCCTTATCAGTTCCGCGAAAGTGTGTGATTGTGTGATTTCCGCATGGTGTTGACAGTTATGTGATCGCGTGGTTGAACTGCGGTTTTGTGAAAATATTCTGTGCCAGCCGTTAATATTGCTTCGTCGGTGTTTAGCTTAGCTGATTGTACCTTGGAAAAGTAACTCTCGACTCAGGAAAACTGTATCTAGGTCTAGTTTTAGCGGGCTTTAATGGCGTTGCACCATAGGCCGGTTATTGCAGATAAGAACTGTGTGGGTACGACCTCGTAAAACTACACGTTGGTAAATGTTTGTTTAAAAGCAGGACAGGGCTGTAAATCTTATTCTTATCGGCTGCAACATATATCTGAGGAGTAGCAAAAAATAAACTTGAATTATGGGGATATATAAAATCAAACCAAATGCCCGGAAATACATTAGCGTCGCGAACAATGAATTTGAATTTTGAAAATTTACTTGCGTGCATCTAACTCGCTTCGGATTGGTTTAAAAACAATCAGCTACTGTCAGAACTCAGACATGCGCATTATCGTGAACCAGTCCCTTAAAATTTTCAATAGCCGTGATAAATTATTTATTAAAAAAGTTGTAAATGACCCAAATTATTCTTAAGCAAGGTCAGACTTCCGCTTAACATCATATTTTGGTGCTAGGAGATTTTGGTGTAAACCGGGTTAGCAAAAATATCGACTCATTCTACTACTTGGGAATTTAAAACCACAAAACTCATTCAAAGGCCGATTAAAAGCCTTTTTCTAACGCCGGGCAGTAAGTTAATAGTCCCTAGAAGCATTCCAACGAGTCCAAATTTAAAATGACGCAAATTTTAGAACATTTATTCAGTAAACTGATTTCGCGAAGTTTCAAAGCGGTTTCATTTCAGTCTAGAAATTTTAAGTTGAGTGAGCTGCAGCGAAAGAGTACCTGGTTGAGGCTTACATAACAACTTAAATAGTTAGCAAATCACTACTTTTTTGCAATCCGATAAATAAGAGGATTCCGCATGGAATAGACAACAAACTGAATGAAACATAGTGACACGCTAACAAAGCAGTCATCACCATCGGCAAACCAAATTTGGAAACAAACATTTTATTACTGTTCTCTCAGTTTGCCTTATATAAACCCAGAAATACGTAAAAATAGCGCCTGGCTGGTGACAAAAACACCCAACGTATGCGTATAAAGATTATCGTTAATTCAGCATAAATTTCAATTGCTTAGCAGCAAATGAACAAATCCATTCGCATTGCATTGGGTCAGTGTTCCGCAAAACAGATGTTATCGAGTACAACACATAAAGAAACTAGGTTATAAACAGAATATTTAGGCAATAATTTATTAAGGAACATTTCAAGTGTACCAGATCGGTGAAGATCGCGCGGTGTTGCGGTATAACTACAAGTCGGAGTCAAAAATCAAATCAAAGTTGAACGAACTCATGCCTTTAACCACTTTCCAAGTGTCGTGTATTCTTTTCGTAAGCCACACACTACTCCTAGAACCATACCAGATCGATCGGCTAAGCTTCTCTATCTTCAAAGACTCTTGTGAACGTCCTGTTGCCGAACGGCCACGATGCTCTTCTTAACCTCCATGATCAAAACATTATTTTTTGCGTCTTTTTAAAACGTAACCAGTCAAACAACACAACCACACGTTAATCACCACTACTGAAGTATAACTAGGCCAGCCAAAGCGACGGATGTCGGAATAAAACGTAGGATTTTCAATGATTGTACCGGAAATGGCGATTTCGAATTTAGTGTTGACCCGACAAATTTATTCTGAAGAGATAAACGGCGCGCATGCGCATAACCGTGATCGCGTCCCTTTGAGGTTTGTAATATATTTTCGTTTTAGTCGAATTCAAACATACAGAATCTTTTTACTTCCTACGGAGAT